AATTTCTTTGAAAAGTTGTAGTTTGCTCTAACCCAAAGGTCTTTTTTTTTAAATATATTAACAGATGAGGTTTTCAATTTTGTCAAAATATTAGAGATTCACTGTAGCATTTTCACCTTGGATAATTGTTTTTCTCCCCAACAGTGAAAAACCTTCATTGCTTGTGTTTTTTATGTTTTGTTATTCTTACGTTTTCAGGCACCAGAGATTTACAGATCTTTTATTCTTTCAACAAATATTTACAGGGAGCCTTTTGTGTCAAGCAGTGGTCAAATAGAACAGTGGACAGAATAGACTAATACATAATTTCATGTAACTTGCATTCTGGCAGAGGACAATAAACAAATATAAACGTTCTAACATGTCATGTCGGAGAGATGCTATGAAGGAAAAGAGAAAAGGGAATAAAGGGTGGGGGGCATGGTGCTGGTTTATATAGGACAGTTGAGACCTCCCAAAAGAGTGACATTTGACTAGAACCCTGGAGCCTGGTAGCTGATTTTGAGGGAAATGTCTGGGACAGGAGGAATGTGAAATACAAAGGTTCTGGGTGGGAATATGATGGGACCTCTGAGGTCTGGAGTGAATGGAGTAGTAGCTGGGATCTGAGAGGTGGTGAAGCCTTGAAGATATTGCCAAGATTTTGGGTTTTCTTCTGAGTCAAGGGAGGATCCCAGCAGAGGACTTGGAGCCTCTGCACTTTCACTGGCTGTGCACTTTCACTGGCTTTCACTGGCTGTGGGGCTGTGGGGAAGTAATGAGATCCATTGGGAGGCCTTTGTAAGAGCAATCCAAATGGCAGGGACAAGAGTGGGAACAGCAGAAAAGATGGAGTGATTGGTTTCTGGATATTTTTGAGGATTGAGTTAGGGGATTTCCTGTTTGGATGTAGAGTAAGAAGGGAAGTTCAGAATAACTAAGGTTTATGATATGAGAAGCTAGAAAAAAGGAGTTTTTGTATACGAAACAAACATCTTTCTCCTTATGTCCCTATGATCCTTGTTAATATTAGAAACTATACATTAGAGCACTCATATTGTGTAGGCATGTGTGTGTCTAGAGAGGAAGCTAGAGAAAATTGTCAGTTTAAGAAGGCTGCAAATATTTGTTGGAAGTTATAATATGCCTTTTTTGAAAGACAGGGATGATAGTAGTACTAGTGTCTGAAACCACAGAAGAAACCCACAGTTGGTGTTTGGAGATGGCTGAGGCACAAAATGCAACACAGTCCAATCTCGTAAATGATTTGCGTTTACATTATGTACTTTCAGTTCTTCATTGATGGCAGAAGCCACAGTGTCATCATGGTGGATTCTTTTGCCTTTCTCAGCCTGATAAATTGAAAAACAGTGAACAATGGATGGAGGTGATAAATGTAGAAAATAAAGATGTAGAATTCTGGTGATTATCGCTTTTACATATTGATAATTTTAGAAATCCCTATTGATCTGCATCAGACTTAATGTAGCTGTTTATCTTTTGTTTTCTAAGATGCTTGTTTACATGTTTCCTGTGATAAGCTGTGCATACGAGTACGAGCACTTGCATAAGTCATATGTTAGGTCCCTAAATATATTTGACTTCTAAAATGCAGATATACTTTTAAACTGTTTTGGGGGTCTTGAGACTATTGGAGGTTAAGAAAACACCATAGGAAGTTTTGAGCTAATCTAATTCTCCATGGATCAGTATTTGTTACTGGTAAATGAAATAAGGACATGTTTCCAGAGAATGTGTTTCCATCCAGGATATTTTGTCATTAGCAGTGTGTTAGGTATATCTGTGGTGAGGGAGTAGGGTCTGGTTCTCAAGGGGTTACTGACTTAGTGAGGAAAATGAGAAGTATTTGAAGCAAGTGTGACAAGCCCAGGCTTAGATGCCCTTGAACATCAGCGAAAGCTGAAAGACAATTTCAGTCTTTAGTTGAGCTCCATGTAGTATGAAGACTTTGGGAGTTTGGAAAAGTTGGAAAATATTAAACTGAATAATTTAAAGGGCAATGTCCTCAGTGATATGTTTGATGTCTAACATAAACGCTAGGGTTTGATGAAATGTTTTTAAAGCAATCATGAGTATTTGATACAGGACAAAAAAAATGAAAAATAAATCGCAGGGCTGCAGTGGACCATTTTGAGAAGCTTTGACTAATGTAAAAAGAAAAGTAGAGTCACTGACAACACAGCAAATTTGGAAAAATGATTATTTAGAGAGAGCCCTGTTGGGAGTTTGATTTGATGTGAAGAAGAAAGTGGGATCCTGGAACAATACACTATGCTTATAGGTTTTTTTTTTTTTTTTTTTTTTTTTTGCTTATATGGTGTTTGAAACATTCGCAGCCCTCATATTCACTGCCTCCATATTCCCAGATTTAAAATAATGCTCTCGGAGTTGTGATTCTGATTAAATTCTGATGTATGGACTAATTGCTTTTGCCTAGATATGTGATGAAATAGATTTTTTTTCTTTGTTTTCCTGTACTTCTTCCTTGATTTCTTCCTCTTTCTTCTACATTTGTTTCATATGTTTTATTGGCTTTGTTGGAACTATGTAAGGAAATCACATAATTCCTATTTAGGAATTATCTCCTTTCCTCTGCTTATGTTTCCACCCTCTGTTAATTTGTGATATAACAATCTTCCCTAGAGTAATTAATTGTAATTCTGAAAGCTGAACAATTTAACTTCAGGTGAAAAATAAGTGGCAAAAGTTGATGAACCTTCACAATAAATATTTGTGTTTTATGCAGCTGCCACTAGTAATTAAGAGAAAATAACTAAGTAGAATGGACCCTAACTCGCTTGATTGCTCTGAGGGCTTGATGGATTTTCAGGACTGGACTCTGTTAGGGAGCATTTTGCTGAATGTCTGTGGCACATTGCCACCTTGTGGCTGCATGCTTTCCTTTTCATGGGAAAGAACACATTTTTAATGTTAAAATTGCATGATACAATCTTACTTTCTTCTAGTACATATACTTAATCTTGATAAGAAAAGATTTCAAATACCTTATAAGAATACATAGAATATCGGGTGCAAGAATCAGAGAGAATGTCCTTGTTTTTAGATGAGGCATGCAGAGGTATTGAGGGGCTGCAAATCCATAATGTCTGCAGTTAGCTCTGGAGAGAGAGGAGAGAATGAAAACAAGTAGGCAAAAGGTTAACAATCGACTGTTGGCAAAGGAAATGTGGGTGCTTGTTGTACCATGCTTACAACTTTTCTCTGCAACTTTCTTTTGAAATTTAAAAAAAAAAAAGGCAGAAAAAAAATAATGTAAGGACGTAAAATGGAGCTAAGGAGACAAAAATAATCTCTACATTGTGTAGAGATCTGGCTACATTTGGACCACTAACAGGGTCCTACATTTTTGTAATAGGTTTGCTAGTGTTTCGGGTTCTCTTATTACACTTCGTTGTCCTTAGGGTTAGGGACAACATGTCTGCAACTAGGCAGTAGTTCTTCCTTGGAGGCCCTCCTAAGTAGGGCACTGAAGTAATGAAAAGCAATCTCAACAAATACTGCCAATAGGTGGGACTTTTTGATTGAAAGAGCTGTTTCTTTTACAAGTACAATCTGGAATCCCTTTTCCCTACTGATCTGGCTTAATCTTGAAGTAGATGCACTGCTAGTTTTTTGAGGGCTTCTCACTAAATACTAAGTGGCAATGAAATACAGTAAAATACTGACTGGGAATGAATTTGAGATGATACTTATTGACAAGTGCTTGCAATCCAGCTGTTCCTTGTTACTAATGAATACAGTGCAGCTTGGGAGGGAGTTGACAGTCTTCTAATAGCCCAGTGGATGGGGTCTGTTCCATTTGAACTAGCTTGGGAGGAGATGCTCATAGGTAGGCAGGGTCAGATTTCTTTTTATGCCTTGGTTTTGAATATATTGCCATGCACATGCAAGGCAAATGAGTGATTTTTTGTCCCTGAATTTGTTCAACTATGAATATATTCATGATAATTGTAATCTAAAATATAAGCAGATGACTATTTTTCTAGCCAGATAAGCAAAACAAAGCAAACCTCAATGAGGCATCCCTGCAAATGTCTGGCTCTGAGTAGTGCTACCCTGATCTTCTCTGTTTTCAAATGTGTGCAAAGTTGACTATTTTCTGTGGCAGTTGGAACTTTCATGAATATCTTTTGTACTTCTTTTTAGTTCTTGGTAAAACTATCTGGATATATAGTTAGCACAGGACTATTTACATCTTTAATAACTATGCACAATTATGTGCATACACGCTTGCGGGTGAAGATCTGGCCCTATTCAGATCTGAAAGATTTTCTTGTAAAAGCAGGGCAGCTCTTGAAATCAGTGTTGTGACACCCTGGATTCTTCCGTAGAAAGCTGTCTGTTGAAGTGGTTCTGGTTTGTCTGATTCTTGAGACAGCTTTCCTTTTAAAGAGCTATACAGTGATACAGGGATGTATTGATTTCCATTAAGGACAGTGGCACTTAGATTTTTTCCTCTTTCCTATGTATGTGTATGAGCACCAAAAGTGTGAATTTTTGTTGGTTGGACAACTGAAAAAATTCTCTATTCTCTCTAGAGCAGTATGCTTCAGTTTTCAGGGGACTCATGATTCACAGAAAGAGGCACAAGTTACTTGGTAACTCAGGAGACGCATGTGCGCGTGCACACACACGTAAATTAGTCAGACAATTCATTAAATAACACTTTCCTTCCCTCACTGGACTCATCACTTCTATTGTATTCCCTTAAAAAAATACTGGTCACAATCTACTAAATTTGATTTCTGGACTCGTTAATGTGTTGCAATTTACAGATGGAAAAACACTCTTATTGAGATTTTGTGGCAAGACAGATTGTCAGATGAAATTCTGAACTCTCCAAGCTAACTACATTTACACAGGATTGGGTGAGAGGGTGTCTAGAAAAGAAAGGAAACCAAGAAAGTGTGACAGGTTGGTCTCTGGTTCTGACTGTGTTGAGAGTGTCTCAGCAGTGATACCACTGTCCTCCTCTGCAGCTTGACCACATATTGTCGCCTCCACCCATGCCGTTTCGGAAGTGCAGCAACCCAGATGTGGCTTCTGGCCTTGGTAAGTCACTGAAGTTTAAAAGGCAGCTGAGCGGTGAGGATGGACGGCAGCTGCGACGGGGGAGCCTGGGAGGAGCACTGACTGGTGAGTTGGGGTGCCTTTATGCAGCAGAGGGTCCTGAACAACCATGGAGTTCCATGGGAGAAAATAAGCCCCCTTAAGCATGGGCCTGCCCCTGCTGCAGACCACTTGTTATATCTAATTCTATCTGGAGAATAAATTGAGGGTTTTATTACTTAAGTATAATTTACATTCTAGAAAATGTATCCATTCGAAGTGTCCATGTAAATGGGTTTTGGCAAATTTACCCACCACTGTAACCACAACCAAGATATAAAATGTTATCTGTGCCCCTTCCCAGTTTTTCCCACTCCCATACCCTAACCTTGGGCTCCAGGCAGCAGGTCAGCATTTTGGATCTATAATAAGATTTGCATATTAATAGAATTATACATTACATGCTCATCTGTTTCTGACTTCTTTCACCCATTTTAATGATTCTAAGTCTCATTCATGTTACATATTGGTAGTATACTTTCAACTTCATAAGAAACATGGGCCTCCCTGGTAGCGCAAGAGGTTAAGCAACGTACTATGAAGCAATCCGCAGCCTCTGCAGCACGAGTTCAATCCCGGGCCAGCCAGGGAGCAACCTACATGGCACAGCAGACCTCTCCTATCTCCCCCACTGCTCCCCTCAGCAGTGTACTTTGGTCATTCTGCCTGTTCTGTTCCCCACTCTGTCTCCAGTGAATCCTCTCACACACTCCACACACCCCTGCATCTCTGGCCTGTGCCCCAGCTCTTGTATGCATAAATAAATAAATCTTAAAAAAAAAAAAATGAAACAGCCAGACTGTTTCCATAATCGGGCCATTTTACATTGCCATCAGTCGCAGATGAGCAATCTAATTGTTCTACATCATTGCCAACCTTTGGCATTGCCAGTCCTTTTAATTCTAGCTGTTTTAATGGGCAGATAGTTGTATCAGATTGTGATTTTAATTTGCATTTTCTTGATGACTAAATGATGTCAAACATCTTTTCATGTGTGCATTGGACATTAATATATCTTTTGTGGAGTGCCTTTTCAAATTTTTTACTCATTCTTTCCTTTCACTCATTTTTTAATCATGTTAAATTTCCTTTCACTCATTTTTTAATCATGTTTGTTTTCAAAATTTTCAAACCCAGAAAACCCACAAGTCACTCTTCTTAATTTGAAAGCCAGATTAAGATAACTTAAAGTGTTTTTTAAAAAAATAATCACCGTGAAAATTTTCATGTTATTAAATTTAACTTAAAATCAAGAAAAGGTTAGGTTTGTGTTATTTCACTCTGAGTACTTTAATGATCCATATTTTTGAAAAAGCATTATTGTTTTTTAAACCTTGAAACACTTTTCTCTTGTTTGCTGTTCATAAGTGGTCTGCAAAATGAGTTAAGTTATTCACATTTTTCTTAAGAACTGTGAATTTTGACTGTTTGGAGATGAAAGCTCTGGGAATAGAAATGCTCTGTTTTTCCACATGACTAGTAGAGTCTAGAACATTTGGCCCAGTGTGGGATACTCCTAGGACGGAGGATAAAACTGACCTCAGGCCAAGGCGGAGAAATTCATCAAAAAATTGCTTTACTTTACTAAGTTTATGGCAAATGTTCACACTTGATTTATACTGATGTTGTTCACATGCATGTTTGCCTTCCTTTTATAGATGCAGACCATTTGCTTTTTTTTTAAGTGAGAGATCCTAAAGTTTATTAAGTCTAACTCTTATTTTATAAGCAGGAAAGTGAAATATTAAAGGTTGTAAGACTTCCCCCTTGCTCATTAAGTTCACTTAGGAAGTTTACTTATCTTGTTTAAGCTGTTTTTGACCAATAGGAAGGATAGTAATGACTCTAGATTCCTAAAACACTTCAATTTCAGCTTGAAAATAATGCTTGGATGCAGCTTTTGATGTAGAGATAGAACCTGAAACATCAAATTTCGTCTTTAGCTTTAAAAAAAATAATTGGTCTTGTTTTCCATTTCATTATCTCAACAACTCAAGTAATTCTATCCTTGAACAGTTTAGATTGTTGTACAATTATTTTTGGCAATTAAATCTTTGACCAGATAATTAAAAAATATGTTTAATTGTCCATAGGAGAGCTTAACAGAATTTCTTGAACATCAGCTTGATTCAAAAAAAAAAGTTGGTTGAAAGTTTTATTGGAATATGAAGAAAACATTCTTGATTGGTTAGATAACTTAGCTAAGGATTTAATTAAATATATGCAAAGCAATCAACCCAATGATGGGTAGCAATGAATATTATGTACATAACCAACTGAGTATGGGGTATTTGCCATAGGTGGAGAACTTGGGCTTGTCCTCAGCAGTTTGAAACCTTTATTGACTGACTTTTTACTTTGTATCAAGCAAAGAGAAGAAAGCATCATTTCTGTTCTTTAAGAAACATGATTACCACTAGTTTTAGGTAACAATAAGTAAGCACATAATGAAGAAAGATACCCTGTTGCTAAACTGAAATCAATCTGGTTTAGCCATTAGAAATCTGTGCTTGATACATGCCATAACCTGAAAACCAGCCCCTTTCCTATTGCTTTGTTGGAATCCAAGGAATTTTCTTTGGCAGTTTTCTACTGTTTTCCTTAAAACAATGACTTGTGAATCCTTAGTTTATATTTTGAAATTTTTGCCACCCAATTATCCTTGAGAAGTTTCACCAAACCCCTGTATCTTTGAGAGAAAGATCTGTCATCTTTTCATCTGCCTACCCCTCATCATAATGACATGTAATATTAGGAGCTTACTATGTTGCAGATGGTGTTTTAGGGAATTACATTTTTTGTCTTATTTAATCCTTAAAAACATTCTCAATGTATATGAAAGAGACATTCTTGTTTTACAGATGAGAACACTTAGGCACAAATAATTTAGGCCAAGATTTGAACCCAGGTATTGTGGCCCCAGAGTCCATGCTTAAAATCTTACAGTGTTCCTAGCACAGTAGTTACCCAACAGGTTTTCAGTAAATTCCAGCAGAATTAATTGGAGTGAATCCTAGGTGGCAAAGTCTTTGCTCAGTTGGAATCTGGGACTAACTCCATCTGCACCTGATCCCTTAATTACAAAAGGAAATTAAAACTTGAGAGTTAATACACATTATAAACCTTAAAATTCATATATTTGTTAACCCAGCCATTGTGTTTCTTAGGCTTTATTACAAAGAAATAATCATGAATATACAGAGAAATATACTTAGAACAGCACTGTTCATAATTAAAATTGCATATCATCTGAATAGTAGTATAATATTGATCAAATATCATGGTATACAAGTAAATTGGAAAACAGCTGTAAGCATTGTCATGTTGTAAGGGAATATGTTTTAACATTGAAGGAGGTTCACAATAGATTTTAATGTGAAAGCCCATTGTTGAGTGGACCCATAGTATCTCCTTCTTTATAGGACTTACTATAATTACAATGCAATACTTGTGTTTTTAATGTGAGGGAGGGAAATAATTCTTATATGCTAAGGGATTTTCTCAAATACTTCTGAAGTAATGGGTAATTGGGTTCCCTTTATAAATGTGCATGTGAAGATGCTATGGCCTTTTTTCATACCCTGCAATTTAATCCACGAAACACTTTTTTGCCTTTGAGATTTTTTTGGTAGCACTTGGTGGTATATCATTTGGCCATAATAATGTATAATCACAAAGTGGCAGTGGCAGACAACAGTAAGTATTTCTTTTTTTTGCTCACATGGCTGCAAATCAGCTGTGTTTTGGGTAATTCAAACTGGACACCTCTAGAGTTCATTCTAGGATGCATCTTGGGTCCAGATCTGCTGTGTCTCATATTTCTCTCTTCTTCCTCGGATCAGCAGCCACCCAAGGCATCCTGTTGTCTTGGTAAAAGCCATGATGAGATCATACATCCACATGAGTAGGCATGTTTCAAGTCTCTGCTGCATCATGCCTACTGACTTTCTGTTGGCCAAAGCAAGTCACACAGTCAGGTCAAGGGGCAGAAGCACGTGCCAGCCACCATGACACACCATGACACACCATGGCATGGATACAGACATGCAAGCTAGTAGAGGGGAGTGAAATATTGGGACCACTTATTAGAATTACCCTCACTTTTTAAAAACAGTCTTTTACAACAAAAATGTTTATATAACCTGTCTTTTAATTATAACATTACTATATAGCCCATGTGGACAATTTAGAAAATACAGAGAACTTAAGTAAAAAGCTACAAGTCTGTAATTCCACCATGCAGAGATACCATGGATGAGCTTTTAACATTTCTTCCTTAGCTAAAGTTGTGACTCACTAAGAATATTAGATTAAAGGAAAATGCAACCAGAACCTTTCTTTGCAGGGCTGGCATTTATGCAATAGACCAAGAGATCACTTTGCCTATAGCTGTGTAGAATGTTTTTAGAGGCTGATGATGTTTTCTATCTCCATGTCCCACAGCTTGCTAAATAGGCACCAGGAAGCATCATGTAAACATTGACTGAGCTTTGGAGCCCCCTGATGAGGAAGAGGAGCATATTTAATCATTATACAGACCCTTAGGTCTGGACATGGATATGTGGTAATGTGCCTGACAGTTCACAGCATGAAAGCTGTGGAATGAAGGGCAGAATTTCAGAGTCTTGAGTAGAGGCTTCTTGATATGCAAATGAATGCCCTATTCCCAATCTAGCACTCCACAGCTATGGTGTGGGTTGCAGTCCTAATAGAAAAGGAAGGCATCTTTTCCTTATCAGAGAGTTGTGCTCATCAAAACACCCTTGACTTGTTTGGAATATAAAACAAAGAATGCATGTGTAACTTGCATTAATAATAAGAAATCAACTTTGTAGACAGTATAAATTAGTACTTGCAAAACTTAGAAACATGGTGTTTTATCGTGGGGAAATGATTGAGATTGTTCTTTCTTGAACTATGGAAATCAGTTCAGAAATTAATTTTAATCTGAAAATTAAAAAAAAGGGAATGGAATCAGAGTGAGTTTTGCTTCAAGAGGGGAGGCAAATACAAACACAGTCCTAGAA